GAGCTCCTCTGGATTTGTGGATTTCATTCTGAGTTAAACTTTCCTTTCCTTCAACATAGATTTTTTTCCTCTGCTGCCAGTGGCAGTGAACATCCTGACTGTCAGCCTTAAACATTTTATATGTACATTCAGGCTTTCAGTAAGGCAGACAGTGAGTCTGCCTGGGAGTCTATCTGAGCCCCATGGAATAACCTATCCATTACAATTCTCTAGTACACTAGCCTCTGTAGCTCAAGTCTACATCACAATTTAGGATTTGTTTTTTTTAATCTTGTATAAGAAAATCATGGTACATGCAAAATATAATAATAACCATGGAAAAAAAAAAAGGGTTTTTTTGGGGGGGTTCCCTTTTTCTCTTTTTTTTTTTTTTTTGAAAGTGTTTCCTTTGTGACTTTATAAAGATAACTGAATGCAATCCTTGAGGTATTCTGTGCAGCCTTGCACAAAGAAAAACTGAAAAACATATTGAACAAGCATTAAGAGCTGCAAGTAAAGCAGTTCAGTAACAGAGTGGTAGAAGAGTCTATCACAAAACTGAGGAATGAAGTGCCTGCTTCTGAGTGTCTCAGTCAAATCAGGGATTGCAATAAAGTTTGCAAGGATTTCAATAATCCAATCATGTTATTTTTGTGTTATGTCATATAATAAATGTGGCAGTGGATCTGCTCCACCTCAAGGGATATGGACGCTACAGTGACAGGTAAAGCTACCTGCCTCATTTGAAAATATTAAAATAATCCAGTTGTCATTTCTCACAGTCATCAGTGCCTCTGTAAATAAGCCACTTTTTTTGAGCTGCTTGGGCACAGCACTCAAGCAGACCAGAATATAATACAAAGACTACCTTGTTGCTCCACCCCTGTACAGCTGCAGATACAAGCAGATTAACTGTAATGTTTAGGTAAGGCTAAATCCTTAACTTGTGTTGGCCTCCTTAAGGGTAAAGTAACACCACAGGGCCTTTTTATGTATCTGTTTATAGAGAAAATATGTAAGGAAAGTAAGTGACAATCTCAAAAAGCAGGAAAAAGCACAAATCCTTAGGATTATCAGAAAGTGATGAAGAATTAGAATAGATCAAATATGAAATGGTTTACCAGAGTGAGTGTGCATGAATGTGGACTAGAGAAATTATTCTATGGATTGCAAAAAGTCTTTTCCTCTGAAAAAAGGAAAATAAGGAAAAAAATCTTGATTTATGTAATTTTTTCCTCTTGGGAATAGCCGCATTGAAATCCAAACTGAAATTTGTTTTAAAATTTTAATAGAGGTAAATTCAAATATTTTCATTTCAATTTTTGGTTTCAAGAACCTGACATTAAAAACAGTCTCTTTCTGGATGGTCATTTGGGATTTAATTTTTTTTAAAAAAATGAAAGAATTTAAAATTCTTCTGTGTTGCAAATTGTGCAAGAGAAGACCTTGCATTATTGTGTGAAAATCAATTCTTGACCTTTTACACAGATTTCACACCTTTGTAGATCCTATAAAGAACAGCATCTGCACACTATTGAAAGGTATGTCATTGAATTTTTTGGCTCACCACCCCTTCAATGTATATTGTTTTAGAAAGAGAAAGGAATTATAATTTCACATTACCATGTAAAACTGCACACGTATGTCTGATACCAACACATACATGTGCATAGAGATCTGCGGTCTTACAGGTTTTCTCTCTAGAGACTGAGGAAAGCAATACATCTCATTTAGAAAGGAAAATATTTATAATTTATGTATGTTTATTAATTATTTTGTTTAACTGCTTAATGTCAGCTTTATGAAACAAATTGAATTTATACCATTCTGATAGCTACTTAATTGTGCATGAATAATGAACACATAAAATCTTCAAGCAAAGCTGTGCCTTCAGAATTGAATTATGAATTGTAGCTTTTTTTCAATATCAAAGTAAAAGATTTTTATTACTGGTGAATATTCTGCTCAAATGGTCTTAAAAAACATCACAGGTCTCACTGCAGGAAATTCTGAGACTATTTTTCAAAAGATGAATGACATTACCTGCAAAAAAGGGGTAAGATTTTCCTTTTATTTTCTGTGCAAATTTTACTGGTGCGGTGTTCCACAATGCGATCCACAGGCTGGATACAGAGATGCAAGAGGAGGCAGCTCTAGGAAGATGTAAGGAATTCTGCATGTACATATGTATGATCCTGGGCTAAAGGCTTACAGAGTGAGGATGGCAGCACCTTCAGACAGATGCTGGCTGGGGACAGTGTGAGGAGCAGGCTGGGGACAGTGTGAGGACCCGGCTAGGAACAGTGTGAGCAGCAGGCTGGGGACAGTGTGAGGACCCGGCTGGGGACAGTGTGAGGAGCAGGCTGGGGACAGTGTGAGGAGCAGGCTGGGGACAGTGTGAGGACCCGGCTAGGAACAGTGTGAGCAGCAGGCTGGGGACAGTGTGAGCAGCAGGCTGGGGCTGGCACGGCGAGCCTGCGCTGCCCCCTGGTGTCAGCAGCGGTGGCAGAGCCTCCTCCGCGGCGGGATCCACCGGGGCGCGCCCTCCTTCGGGCGCCCTTCTCTCCCGTGCCTTTTCTTGGTACGGACCCACCAAGAGATGTGATGAACAGAGAACCCCCACTGGCACCATGTTTTGCTTTCAGATGTTCCCACGTGCAAAACAGTGATGCAATGGCTTCGTGTGAAAGCAGCAGGAGCAGTGCAGCTGTTTTCTGCGTGGTGACTACTGTGCTCTCCTCTCTCTGTACGTCAGTTTTCGTCATGACAGTCTTATGTTCCTCTAGCCTCAACTATGGAATTCCCTCTGTATTTATTCCTAGTCCAACAAAGGAATGCTCTAATACAGTATGACCAGGAAATATAGTTCTATGCCCCTTCCTCACCTTTGGGGATTTCAGACAGGGGCTCAGGGCATAGATGGGAGAGCTGTGTACCACAGTCCAGCCAACAAATATGTCACATACATTCATCCTGTGACTGACAAAAACACATTTATTTATTTCCAAGTTTGGTTGTTTTTTTGTAAACCCAAGGAAAATGTAATATGCTGACTGTGACTACAAGCACTCTAACCCAGACTAACTGCATTTTCAATAATCAGGATAGTTAATGCCACTAATATGAGAAGTGTCAGTATTTAATCCATCCAGTGATCCTCTGGTTGGTTTTTAAAAGAGTGTTGTGATTTGAAAATCAGTAATTGTACCGTGAAGAGAAGAAGGGAGGGGGCAGAGGAGAAGGGGACCAAAAAAAAAAAAAAAAAAAAAAAAAAAAAAGAAATAAAAATTAAACACAAATTGTATGTGTACCACAGTCTTCTCTAAAACAGGGGCAACCTTTCATTTCCACCACAGCCTGCTGGAATCCACAGACAGCTAGCAACCACTGTGCTGTCACAAGGAGTTGCAGGGGTATAGGGAGGTCTAGTGGTTATAGATTCATGTCCTACCACCATCATGTCCTAAGCTTCTGAGTAATCAGGTTTCTGTAACTCAGCCCACCCTAAATAAAGACAGACATAAATATATATTGTTACTAATTCCTTTTTTCCTTCTTTCAGCCTGTAAATTGGTTTTATTCTCAACACAGTGAATATAAAAACATTCTGTGTACAACCAGCCTCCATTTACTGCAGTTCATTTTGAATCTATAGATTCCTTGCAATTACTAATTGTATTACTAATATTGTATATATTTGGCTCCTGTTTCTCTAAAGTCTAATGGACTCATATTACACTGTTAAATGTGTTTATTCAGTTTTGCAAAACAAATATACATTGGATTTTGTGCTTGGTTTTTCATTATTAGGACAGAAAATTTTCTGTATGACATGACAAATAATTTATGGAACTCCTAATATGGCCTATTTCATATCAGTGTAGATGTTCAGCACTTTCAAAAATGAAGGTATTTAAGTGCAGGGTTTAACCATTGCATGTGTAGTGTTTTTTACTACTTTACACAGGTTAGCTATAGTCTTCATTTGCATATAACTTGTTTATATTCAATTTGATTGAAGAATCATTATTTACTGTGGAAAGTAGTCAAAATATGAGTAAGAATATAATACATAAAAAAATAAGTTTATAGTCTGATGTTTTTCTAATAATCCCTCTGAGTTTGAGCAGTGAGATCTTTAACTTAGGGCCAAATCTTGTTCAAACACATACAGTCCTACAAAGATTAGTTCTTACAATTTGGCAGACAAGAACAGCATTCATCTTGTTTTACAGAATAAAATTACTAAAATGAACATGCAACATTGCAATATGACTAGACATTTCTCTTTCTTCATCTTGAACAGAAATTCTCAGGGGCTCCATGATCTCAGTGCCACCCTTATTTGATTTTTCTAATCAGATTTGTAAGGATTTCCCAGTACTCTGTTTAGATGTGTCTGGCTGAAGGTAGATCCCCACCTTGATTTGGAAGATGGAAATAGTACCTCCACTGAGAGTTTTCCCACCCTAATACAGAGGCTGAAGGCTAAGGGATGTTATACAGTCTTGCTAGTGCTTTTTCACTTCAGGGAAGGTACCTTATTTGTGCCTGGAAGCTCTGATATACAGAATTCTTCTACTGGTAACAGCAGTGAGTCATGGAATGATTTCCTCCTTGCCTGGCCTGTTGACCTGGCCTGTTGTTGGGAGGAGACACAGGTACCTGGGGGATCAATGCACAGTATCATCTCTAGCCACCAAATTGGGATCTGACAGTTAAGCATAGAACTAAACTGTTGATGCACTCCTGCCACAGTGGCATCATAAGCTCATTTTAAAATGGATATGACAGCAGGTATGTATTTTTTCCTTTGCTGACACACACACAAAAAAAGAAGCTTAGTTTATAGTTAAGATTGTATATTAAACCTGAAGATGACAACGGTTAAATGAAATTAATTCTGCCTCAAAGTGCAGTCTGTGTATGTTTGAAGGGATTTGATACCTCTGAAGGTAAGTTTAGTTGTTGTCATCCTTATCAGGTGGACCATTCTTGTAACGCTGTGGTTTTATTCATAGGTGACACTACTGTATGCAGTTCTTCACAAGACACAACTTGAAATATTTTGATAAAATGAGATGCTTGCGGAAACGATCAGCAGTGTCATTCTTAGGAATCCTTGTTGTTTGCTTGCTGTTCATGAACTTGTACATTGAGGATGGTTATGTTTTGGTAAGTTGTGAAGAAGTGATCATGGAACAACAAAACAGTAAAACACCCCTAGTAAAACAGTAAATTATTGAGGATAAACTATGTCTGAACTATTTGTGTGAGCTGGGAGCTTGTTTTCAGTACACACTGCAAATCTCACCTCTGAATGCTGCATTAAATGTTATTATAGAAATAAAATTATAAAAGAAAATTTACACCCATTCCATCTACTTTAAGCTCCTTGTATAAATAATTTCATTTTAGTGAGTTTATTTTGTATTTTTCTTACTTTTTGTAATTCAGATTTTAGTCTGATGTGTTCAGTGCTACAGCATAAAAAAATTAGACAAATGAAACCTAACATAAGTTTATGTTTTTGAAAAAGATTGTGGAAATATTTATGTTAGGAATTTCAACAAATAAGCTACTGACAACATAACATAAGTCTACGTTTTGTGTGTTACCTAGGGGTGTTTCAGTGCTGAATGCCAAGTGAGTCCTGGAGACTTGATTAATGGATTGAATTTCCAGTTCTTTGGAGATTGGACTGGGCCCAGTAAAAGAACATAGTGATTGAAAAACTGGATCTTGCAAATAGTAAAATGATTAAATTGAATTTTTTATATTGTGATATGACTAGATAGTGCTGTCTGTATCTTGAATTGAACAGGGACAGTATGGATTTTCCAATATTTTGAAAGATGAATTCTGATCTTTCAAATGATGAAGAAAAGAAACGTAGGTCAAAAAGTGTAATATACAAGTAGTAAAATCCTTACATTATTTATCAGAACCATGCATACAGTCCTAGTTAATTTAAAATATTATAATTATAAAATTACTTAGAACAGTAAATATTTACAATATTAATATTATGCTAGTACTTTTTAAAGTCATTGTAAAGATAGGCCATGCTTGTAACATGTTACTCCATTACAGACATATTTCCATGTCAAACACTGAGGATTTGCACTTTTTTATGTATTTCACATTTCTTGGTTATGAAATTTGACCTGGCTTATCACTTTATTTTTCCTAGTGGCATTTTCCCTAATATTTCTTCTCTGCTCACTAATTGTTTAGAAGTCCCCCAGATGTTCCTGAAAGTGCTTTTATTATCACTGCTAATGGTGTTCCTCTTGGCTTATTTTTGAAATCTTTTCCTGTCCTATTTGCCAGCTCCCCAGATGGCTCCATGTCTTATTCTTAATTTGCTCTTCCCCCACCTCTCTTTTATAAATTCACTCTCTTTCATTGCTTCTCTCATCACAGTTTGGCATGTTTGCATTCATGTAGCTCTCAGCCAAGTCTCTTGCCAAATCTTCTGAGAGTTCTTCCAGGTCTCTTGATACCTTTATGGTCCATCAAGTGTTTTTCAAGTGTGTTAGGATGTTGACTTTTCAGCTTATTTATTTAGTATTATTCTCAAATTTCCTGACCCTGTCTGACAGCTCCAAACACACCATGTCTGGTGTGTTTTCTCTGCTGAGGTAAAAGATGAGCAATTTCAGTGTTTGTGGTGAAGAGAAATACACTTCGGGTAAACCTTTCGAGGACAGCAGGCTAACCAGTTTCCCTCAGGGAATGAAAATGTGAAAGTCCTCAGAGCCCCAAAGGCTCTCTGAATTGCAGCCAATCTCTTTCTGGACTGTCTTCTAAAGGTAACTGGTAGAAGGAAGACAACTGATCCAGAGTTCCTCCTCCCAGTCTCAGACAGCAGGCTGTGCAAAGGGTTGTGGTGCTGGTGTCTCTGGCACCAGATGTAAGACAAGTGGTCTTTTTTAAAAAGTTAGAGTATTAAAATGACAGTAATTCTGGTAAGCCTTAAGGGAGAAGAGAAACTTTCTGGTTTTGCTCAAAGCATCTCACATGTCCAGAGAATCCCTTCACTGTTTTCTGCAGGGTATTTGCTGCAGAAATGGAAAGGGCCCATGTGGCAGAATGGCTGAAGTATATTGGGTAGAGGGTATGCAGTTGTGCAGTGCTGATACACGTGTATTAAAAAAACAGTTTAAGATGCTTCATCTGCAGCATATGAACTACACTTGATCAAGCATTTTGGAGACATGTTAAACTAAAATATACCAGATATCACAATATACACAAGGAGGTCTTATACCTATTCAGAGCTGTAAGTAGATTGTAAGCGAAGCATGTGTTCTGCACTCTTTTATGAACACTAATCACTATTTTGGGCACTATGCAAAGAATAGCACTACTGCAATTGATACAGCATCCTTAGCAGAGCAGAGTATCTTCATAAAGGGTGGAGAACTCTGGCACTTCATCCTCTGACACCCAACGTGAAACTCCCAGCAAACACTGGAATGTAAGTTAGAGGTCAGTTTACAGATGAAAGTCAAAACCATTCTATAACAAGCTAGAGAAGAAAACCAAGGAGAGTTAATCAAGCTCCTCAGCTTCACTGACCTCAACATAGTAGTCAGAGATAGAAGAAACAGATTTTAATCTTTTGAAAAAAACCCAGATTTCAGTTTTTCCCATCATTCAACAGAATAATGAAATAACAACTATTAAAAAGAAATGTTAGCCACAAAAGGGATTTATTAAAGAAGGGAGAAAAAAGGAAAATTTTTGTGGTCAGTTTAGATATTTTGCTTGTTAAAATCAAAACATTTTCTTCTGACATTGTCTATTTCTAAACATTTTATGTAGCAAAACCTCAGCAGAATAAGTTTTCATTCTATGACCTTATGAAACAAGGAATCTTGGTGCTCCATTCTGGAGCCCATGACACAGTGTTTTGATACTATTTTAAAAAGAAAGTTTTTGGACCAGCCTTTTTTCTTTTTCATTTGACATTTTCATGGAAAATCTCCTGAAGTTTTGGCATATTTTCTTCCTAGATCACTGAGTCACATTTTAATCTTGAACCTAATCATCAAACTTCCCCTCATAATTTATGAGCAAATGCAAAGTGTCACATAAGCACTAGAGAGAAATTGCTCAAGAGTTACTGAAGATCAAGAGGGCATAACAGTGCAGGTAGATGCCCCTGGATGTCTGCCAAAGATCTTTACAAAGCTCAGAAGTGGATTATTTACTATTTCCATGCAAGAAAAACAATGAACTATAAATGAATGTAGCATCAGTTTACAGAAGTACTTCTTTGTGCTGTAAAATTTATCTTTTGACACATTTTTAATATTTATGCCATTAAATATCAGCACTGTTTACTGTTTCTGTGGTTGTTAGCAGCAGTACTATTACTGCACAGTGCTCCCATTTAAGGACAGATCCGGAAGTTTTAGTGCATTAATATACTGCATTTATCAGAAGAAACTAACTCATTCATACATGTGCTTGTCATCAGACTAAATGAAACCAGATAAATTAAATAAGCACTCCTGCTTTTAAACTCAGTCTTCATGACCTCTTAGATATTCTCCCTTTTCTTAAGGACTAAGGAACAGATTTTTCCTGGGGCCCAAGTGATCTTATGCACAGGGCACTTATGCATGATGAAGCCACTCTTTCTCTTCTGTGCCCTTACTATGACTAGGGAGGCCTCTTGGAAGAAAAAGACTGAAGAAGGCAGGAAGAAGAGGCATGGCATGGTGATAAACGTTCATTTTGACTATGCCATCAAAAAGTGTTCTCTAAATTCAGAGAAACTTGTACTGTCTGCATGATCACAAGCATTTCAGCATATTGCAAACCTGAATAGAAGCTTCTCAGAAAAATGAGCCAGATGCCAGGATCTAGATTTGGCTTTCCTTTGCAGCAGTTTTTATAGATTTTTTAATCACTGAAAACAATTTTTTTTTAATCTTTCCTGTTTCTACATCTGTGAAAATTATTTTATCTGATGCTGACTAATGTTTTCTTATCCCTCTTTTGAGTACCACAGCATTTTTTGGCTAATAATTTAATGTTTGCTACCTTTCCAGAATTTTATGAAAAGTATTTTTTTTTTCCTTATACTGTAATCTGAAGGTTTATAGTAGATTTTCTGTAGCCAAAATGTATGATATTCAATAATGCTTTTGGGTTTGGGGGGATTTTGTTTGTTTGTTTTTGTTTTAAATGAGGTGACATCCACATGCTTTCATGAAAGCTGAAACTGAAAAATGTTATTCTTGGAAACCTGCCTGCCCATGTTTCCTCTCTAGCTGACATTCACAATTGTGTTTCTCTCTGTCTCTCTCCCTTTTTTGTTATTTTTGTTTTCCCGCTAATAGGAAGGGGACAAGCAATTAATCAGAGAAACAGCCACGCACCAGCTCAACCCAGAGCGTTATGTTCACAGTTTTAAAGATTTGTCTAATTTCTCAGGATCTATAAACATTTCCTATCGCTACCTAGCTGGCACACCTTTGCCAAGGAAAAGTAAGTAACTGCAATTTGAATGTTGCAAATTGAGGTAATTTAAGAAGGAGTGAAATCCATATGGTCCCTGTGGTATTTCTATGCAAGAGGGGCTGAGTTAGGCAGTGACAGTCTCAAGAGTGCTGGTGAGACAACTATCATAGGCCATTCTTGAATGGCTGCTGGTCTGTAATTAGCAGTGATTGCCCCACAGGCTGATTACCTTCTGACCAACGGCCTGACTTGCGGATATCCTGCAGGCAGCCCCTGGATGGTCCATGTGAGCATAATTCCATTATCTCCTCCCAGGCAAGAGGAAGATGATTGAGAAAGCAGAAGCAAGGCATGTGCTGGTGGTGTTCTGCAACCACCCTCTGAGACCATACTGTCAATCTCTGTCTACAATCTCTGTTTACTACTGGTAAATCCAATCTTAAGTATGCTTGGCATCACACAGATACACCCCTCAGGTCCACTATTCTGCCAGCCCAGCAGCTGCAAATGGACCTCCTTGCTCCTTTATCTTTGCTAAAATGGGACCTGAACTGTGCTATTACTGGGACTGTAAAGGAGGATTCTTCTCACAGCCATCTGCAGATGGACTATTTAGTTACTCTTATTTCAGAGATGGTTCTAGACCTTCCTCTAAATGTGAAATACAGCTATACCTAGACTTCAGGCAGGTGTCCTTTGACCTGGTTCCAAATGGTTCCAAATCAACCATTTCACATACATAAACAAGGCTCTGAAGTCCAAGGCCAGGAGGTGAAATAAAATAATGTATGAGTTGTAGAAAGCTACAAAGTTTGTTCAAATTAGATTTGAAAAATTTTGGGCTCTGTGGGCAGTGTAAATGACTTCTGGAGTTTGTACTTGACTGTACAACTTCATTTTGAGCAGACTTAAGCTTCGAGGGAAACACTGAATGATTATCAGAGCAGCCTTTTAGAAATTACTATATTTTAAGAAATCTGGGGTAAGTTCGACCTGAGTACACTCTGTCAATTGCAGTCTTGACATTTTTTGCATCAGAAGTTAGAAAAATAGAGATATATTAGCAAATATCTGAAAAAAAAAATCCTGATTTGGAATACTGATAAAAATGCAATGGCAATGACTACAAAACAGCAGAGATTAAATTTCTTGTTTTATAAGATATATCTCTGTCTAGAAAGAATGTAAGAGCATTAAAAATTATTTGTACAAGCAAGGAGAGAAGTTCTCTTCTACTTTAAAATAATGCCCAAATTGTATCTTCCAAGAGGGTGCTCCCTGTAAAATGCTTAATGAGTCCTGAAAGAGGGTTAGAAGAGAAACTACTGTCAAGGAAAAACTAGACAAATGCACCTAAAAATGAACACACTGAGAAATAATTATCCATGCAAAACTCATAAAACTGTCAAGTTATGCACAGATGTAACTAGACTTTTAGAGGGCTTAAAATGATAAAAGTGCTGCATTTGGTAGTTCCTTGCTTTCAAAATATGGTGTGAATAATCCCCTCATAATCCCCTTTCTTTTAGCAGATTTACAGCCTTATCATTGTATACGTGGTTTTGTCTACAAGGCATAAACTTACACCCTGCTTTGCCATTTGTCCCCTGCATGCTACTCCTTGCAGTAAAGCAGTGAATGTTCAACACAATAGTCTCCATATGTCTGTTTGCTTGCAATATCATACCTCTTAATGAAAAGGCAATAAAGGTCCTTTATAGCATGCAGCTTAATAAATTCACATACCAAATTTCTCAGTCTTCACCATTCACGAGGTTTGTTTAATATAAACACAGCTCTGGAGAATATCTGTGATAAAATTGCTTCCAATATCAGATACTCAGTTTTTGTTTGAATTGTCTTTTGTACAGGGTATCTTACGATTGGACTTTCCTCTGTAAAACGGAAAAAGGGAAACTACTTGCTTGAGACCATCAAGTCCATATTTGAGCAGTCAAGCTATGAGGAGCTAAAAGAAATTGCAGTGGTAGTACAGCTGGCAGATTTTGACTCAGCCTGGTGTGAAGGGGTGGTCCAGGATATTTCACAGAAATTTGCACATCATATAATTGCGGGCAGATTAATAGTTATTCACGTCCCTGAGGATTACTATCCTGTACTGGATGGCCTTAAGAGAAATTACAATGACCCCGAGGACCGTGTGAAGTTTCGATCAAAACAAAATGTAGATTATGCTTTCCTTCTAAACTTTTGTGCTAATCTTTCTGACTACTATGTGATGCTGGAAGACGATGTTCGCTGCTCAAAGAATTTTTTGACTGCTGTTAAGAAAGTAATTACCTCACGAGAAGGATCCTACTGGGTGACATTGGAATTCTCCAAGCTGGGGTACATTGGAAAGCTTTACCATTCTCATGACCTTCCACGCCTGGCCCATTTTCTATTGATGTTTTACCAAGAAATGCCTTGCGATTGGCTGCTCATCCACTTCCGTGGGCTGCTAGCTCAAAAGGAAGTGATACGTTTTAAGCCATCTCTCTTCCAGCACATGGGATACTACTCGTCTTACAAAGGAGCTGAAAATAAGTTAAAGGATGATGATTTTGAAGAGGAATCCTTTGATATCCCTGACAACCCACCGGCAAACTTGCACACCAATATGAATGTATTTGAAAACTACGAGGCAAGCAAGGCTTACAGCAGCATTGATGAGTACTTCTGGGGCAAAGCTCCTTCTACTGGAGACTTCTATGGCATCGTATTTGAAAAGCCCATTAAAATCAGTAAAATTAAAGTTGTCACTGGAACTGAAGATCGGCAAAATGACATTTTACATCATGGGGCCCTGGAAGTAGGTGAAAAGATTGTAGGCAGTAAAAAAGGAAGACAATGTACGACTTACTTGAGACTAGGGGAGTTCAAAAATGGGAATTTTGAAATAACAGATGTAGAGCACAAAGTTCTGTTTGATATTAACTGCATGAGAATACTTGTTACTAAAAGTCAAAAAGAATGGCTGATCATTAGGAGCATTAGCGTCTGGACTTCTCAAACACCAAATCAATAAAGCAAGGCCACCTGAGAAGGTACAGGGTGCATACAATCAACTGGGTCACAACTGGTGCCACTCCCCAGAAAAACAGACACTTGTAGCTCTTCACTAGAGACACTGAATATCTGGGGAAATCACAAAACAAGTAAAGCAATTTATTTTTTACCAGTTTGGTCAGGCAATATACAAACATTTATTTGTTGAAAATTTTGAATTTTATAGAAAACAAAAGGTTCTCATACCTCTCTTGAGATCTTTAAACCCTTTTTTATTATTATTTCTCTGTAAGAGAGATCTTGTGGACTGTACAGAACAAAAACTCCCACCTTATAATTGCCAAAAGGTTTAAATCTATGACCATTATGTTGTGAAAAGAAATTGGATTGCACCTTATGCACATAAAAATTTAAAATCTTATGGTAGTATGCGTTTGTACTGTAGTTGGTAATGTGTTTCTTTTCCAGGCAGTTGTGACAAGGAGATCTGTCCTGAAATTGGCAGTTTACTTCTGAGCACTGTAAGAAAATAATGTGGCTAGTCATTGCAACTTCTTGTCAAAAGGGAATGTGTAAAATTATAAATCTGACATGACAATTATGTAAAAAATAGATAATTGCAACTGTTATTCTGTCTCAACAAATATCCTTTGTTCTTTTTTCTGGATCCTTACACTGAAATGAGCACTACTTGGATTCTATATTACCTAAGGGACCAATTTACTCTCCTTACTTGTTCAAATTGCCTCACACCAAGCAAGCCTTCTGCTTGAGTACCAATGTCAGTATCAAACCCAGGTACCTCAAGAGCAGCACTGTTCTCTTAGAGAGACATTTTAACAGATCTCAGCTTCAACATCTTCTGTTCTATCATGATATGGAGAGCTCCCCCTGAGAAATTTGCAGATAGCTGTATACTACAGCCTGGTTTCCAAGCACTGTCGTACCTTCCATATCTACATGTCCAGTTCATGCATGATACAGAGGGAAAGTGTACTGGGTTAACAGTTGGGAGTGAATGTAATCTCCAGTCTGTCCTGGATGATCTGTAGTCAATAGAAGAGACACAAAATGAAGAATCTTAATACAAAGAGAAATTAATATGTTTCTGAATTGGGATTTTTTGGTGTTTTGAAGTTTTTAAATTTTCTGATTCTGATAGTATTGTAGACATCTTCCCACTGCCACTTGTTATTTCCTATAAACATATTTTTCCTGGCTTTAGTCAATAAACAGAACAGTTCCTCCAGTCCATGTGACTTCAGTGTTAGCTCTGGGCTTCTAGTGTGTCACACAGGGAGGCTGTATAGCATATGGTTTACACTATATGCGTACATTTAGGTTACAGAATCTATGGACTTCTTCCTCTAAGAAATTCCCTAGATTGTCCCAGTAGACATACTAAGAAATATATGAGTAGCAAGTGTGACAGAGATGAACATTGTATTATCAATCTCACGAATACTGTGCTCATCACTAGATTGCATTTAGTGGGGTTAGTTAAACGTGGAAAGCAAGAATTAAATTTCAAGAATGCTTACACTGACAAAGAGTGAACTAGCTTCTGGATGAGTACATACAAACCTAAAATGAGTATTTCAGAAGGATAAATTATTTTTAAAATCTACACAAAATATCAGTGCAATTGATTTTCCTTGCTCAGAAATCTGGATAAATTCAGGTCCAGCTTTGGCAAAACACCCAATACAGAGGTAAGGTATATTGTCAATTAAATCTTCTGATATCTGCTTCTACATAATTCAGAAAAACATATTTTTCTCAAAGAAAGTCTTTGTTTCTTTGTTCCTTAATATACACCTAAATCTCTGGGTTTTTATATAAATAAAATAGATTAAAAGTGTCATACATGTTTGACTTGAAAAGGAAAATATAAGCTCTTTAAAAAAAAAAAAAAGCAAATGCATGCTTATCTTAAATTATTATAAATACTTATGAAAGAATTGTTTTTTAATATTGATATTCCACATTTCAAAAATATTGTTCTGGTAATTATTTATTAGTCAAGCTCCATTTTTTTTTTTTTTAATAAGTCATCATTCTTCTATTTTTTCCTTTTATAGAATCACAGAATGGTTTGGGTTTAAAAGGACCCTAAAGATCATCTAGTTCCAACCCCTCTGCTATGGACAAAGATGTCTTCCACTAGACCAGATTGCACAGAGCCACACCCAGACCAGTTCTGAACACCTCCAGGGATGGGGCATCCACAAATCCTCTGGGCAGCCTATTCCAGTGCCTTGTTGCCACAGTAAAAGATTTCTTCCCAATTATCTACTCTAAACCTACTTTCTTTCCACTTCAAGCCATTCCCCCTTGTCCTGCCACTACATGCCCTGGTGAAGTCCTTCTCCAACTCTCTTGTAGGCTCCCTTTAGTAGTAGAAGGTGCTAAAAGGTCTCCACGGAGCATTCTCTTCTGCAGCTGAACAACCCCAACTCTGAGCCTTTACTCATGGCAGAGGTGCTCCAGCCCTCTGATCATCTTTGTAGCTCTCCTCTGTATCCACTTGATCATTTGATCATTAATTTGTAATTCATTAACTTTCTTTTATCCCTAACTATTAGAGCCAAAACAAACATGACTAGGTTAACCAGGAACCTTTACTTTTATTCAGAAATGCACTATGTCTGAAGCAATCTTCTAAATTAGAATTGAAAATACACTCAATCCAAAAATTTCAAATACCCTTGTAATCAAAACCATAGACGATATGAATGGCTACTTGAGTTCTTCATGATGATGAGAGGCCACACAAGAGGTTTGTCCTGCACATTCATCTCCTAGAAAAACAGAGATACAGGAGATCTATTTTCGTGAGATGACATATAATATATACAAATCTAGATAAAACTACATGATACATAATAACTTTTACAGATGATTTCCTATCAGCAATACCATTCTTCCCAGAAGGAATGTTCAGGGTCTTCCTCATAAATACTATCTTGCAATGAGAATAATTTGTTGCACTTTGAAAAAGGGAATATGTATCTCCACCTCAATCCAAATAATTATTTACTGCATATTAGTTTAACAATTAAATTAAGTATAGAGAAAGATTAATTTCAATACCATATTCATAATGGTAGTCTGCTGTTAAATTGCCATGAAATTGTATTGGCATCCGGGCAGATATTAGACTAATTTTCAGCCACATTTCTAGATGTTTTTCAGCTGTCATGCTACCTACTACTCCTCTTGAATAAAATCCCACTTTACTCTGATAGTTGTAAAAAGGCTCTTAAAATTCTATGTAGAACTTGAAAGTACTTTAAGTAGGATTATATTGCTGATTAAACTCTTTTCCAGCCCTTTGCTGGGCTTATGTGAGAATTTCACATTTAACAAGTAAAGCTGAACATCAAAAGCTGATGTTCATTTCCTCTGTTCAGACAGTTAAAGAGCTGTCTTCCTTCTTTATTGTTATTTAGCCATTAATGTTGGTTTTACTTTTGCCAGACTGAACTTTGGAGCAACAATTTAAAGCATTCTGTCTTTTTTTCTTTAGTATACCATGCACCACTAAGAGCAGAGATCTAAAGGTGTAAGTTAAACCCTTACACCAGCCTCTGCTGCTACTGAAAGTCGCTTGCTGCGTGCTCATGCCACCTGGGATATTTCAGTTAATTTATAACTTTAGAATCTATTCTATTTTCATGTTACAATTTCACCTGCACACACAGCCATTCCCTTCTTCTCTCTTTAATTTCAATACTTCATAAATGAACTTTATCTTGGGTGAATATTGCCAAACCACTTTCACCCCCATTCAGGAAACCGGGTTGGTTACTTCCATTTATTTCTCAGAATTACTTCCTGCTTTTGGCCATTGCTCACTATACTTAAATGCCACATTTGCTGAGAAGACAATAAGCATGCTCTAATGAGACACTCTTTTAAAAGAGACATACTAATTATTTTTGGGTTTTTGCCATATAACTCTAAGAGTCCACTATCTGATTGTGTCAAAATTATACGCATACCATTTTACCTCCATGGAAATCCCATAAAGCAAGCAGGTTTTATTAATCACTCCTACAAATGGTTCCTGGCAGTGGTCTGGCTTTGCATTTGCAAAATGAGCCAGGTTTCTCTCTTCCACAGACCTGAATAGCAACTTTCAAGGAAGGGGAAATAAAAGATCCAAATAGGTCTTCTCTCTAGTGGTTGTCTGCTACCTTTCAAAGATGCAATTTCTTCCCTGTGTTTCCTCTCTTCTTTCACTCAAAATTGTATATTAAATCAACATGAGGTCCTACTTCTTCCCAATACCTCAATTCTCTCATCAACTCTCCCATCTGTACACTCATAGTTTTCTTTTGGAAAGGGATAGTTGTAGTTTTAGTTTATGCAGAAATCCTTAAAATTTGGGGAATAAATGCCACAACACAGCCAGTAAATTTTTACAGAGGTCCATGTTTATTTTTTTAAACGCTCAAAGTGTGATATGCAATATGTTCACTCAAAGTAGAAAATATGTTTACTCAAGCATATTTGTGATAACTGCTCCTCACATAAAAACAAACAAAGAAAAAGCTCAGGTAAGGCTTTTTAGGTAAGTGTGGCATGTGCATACACAAGTGTATTAATAAAAACCCCCACAAACCCCCACATCTACGGCTGTCTTCTGTACTAAAGACTTTAAGCTTTCTGGCTAAAGAGAGAAACCAGTGTGTCAGAAATAATTTGGATATTAACTTTTGTATGGTTAATCTCTCATTCTTTTGATACAAAGCCAATTCCATAGAATATAATCCCTTGGGTTATATCACTTGCCAAGTTGTTTTGTAAACAGATGTTACTTTTCTTGAATATTGATTATAATTAATATATTTACCTTGACCACAGACTATTGATAACATTTTTTCTTGTTTTGGTTTTTTTGAAAGCTCATTTTTTTCTTTTTTAAACTGAAGAAATATGTTTGGGTTTTTTTAATAGTTTTAGCATAAACATTATAGAATAAGGGAATAGGAGTCATGTTTAATCTGGTATGAA